CGCTCTTCCTACCCTGACATTTCAAGACAAAGATCCAATCACTGCTGTAATTCTTTTGATTTTGTTCAAGAAAACACGTTCTCTGACAGACTGTACAGCAAGCGGCTTTTAAACCTTTGAATTATTGGGGTGGCTGTGAGCACAGAAATCTCTTGCCTAAAGTGCAAACAGCAAAACAGTAACACTTGCACACCTCACAGCTAATTTTCCTGCTCCTGCTTGCTGCTCCTCTGTCTGCTTAGCTTCACCTAAGTGGCTCATCCCTGGCTGACTGCCCATGAAATTCCCTAAGTCTTTCCAAAATCACCAACCCTGGGGCGCAACCTTCTAACTCACTGTTCTTAGTGATACGACTTCACACTTAGTTATGCTGAAATGCATACTGGATATCTGCACTCAGTAACTACCAAGTAACCCAGACTTCTCTATAATCACTTATAAGTGGTTCTCCCTCTCCACTATCTAATCCTCCTGGTTGCTATATTTTAATACTTAGGTTATGTATTATTATCCATAATAACAAACAAATAACGTTTTTCAAGTCAAAAACCTGGAAGAAAACATTAGCTAGCACAAGCCTTCGAGCTATCTCCACCTCAGTGCCACTGAGCCTCTCACCTGCCCAGCCTCAAGGAGGACAATTAATGGCCCGTTCCTCACTGTCCCCCTCTGCAGAACAGTAACTGCAGATCGCTTCACTGACAGTAAGGTCCACCACCTCCAATTCTCACAGCAATGTAGGCTAACAAACATTTAAACAAAAAAATCACGCAAACACCTCCCGCCAGGTTAGTAATGCTGTAAGTACCTGCTTTACTTGCAGGAGGAAGCCAAGTGAGGGCAGCCCACCCCTCCCCACGGAAGGTGCCCCTGGAGAGCCCCGGCACAGGGGACCTGGGGGGCGCTTTCCACCAAGGCTCCCCCCCGCCTTCATTCCGCAGGCTCCGTCTTCCTCTACTCACGGAAAACAGCTGCATTTTCTATTAAGAAAGAGGGACTTACCAGGAACCTCGGGAGGAGAAGAAAAAAAACAAAAAATACGTATTTTTTGAGATATATATATATAGGTATATTTTGTCGGCATGCCCGCTGCTGCCGAGGCAGCTAAGGACTGCTGATGTCAACTCTGTAATTCAATGGAGCTGGGAGGTAAAGTACTACTCCAGCCTCCTCGGGATTCAGCTCCTGGCTCACGTAGGCAGCACACACGATATACACACACACACACACACGCTGCACGCACACACGGACTGCTCGGACGCCCGCAGGTGCACGCTCGCAGCAGCACACCTCACCCCCTCCCTGCTCCCCGCCTCCCCCGGCTGTACCGCTCTCCGCCTGCAGCGGGCAGGGGCTCCTCGCCGAAGCAGCAACAC